AAAAAAAAAAAAAAAAAAAAAGATATTTTTGTAACTTTGGCCAGGTGTGGTGGCTCACACCTGTACCAGCTACTCGAGGCTGAGGTGGGAGGATCACCTGAGGCCGGGAGTTCAAGATCAGTTTGGGCAACATAGCAGTACCCTGTCTCTAAAACAACAAAAAAAAGGTATTTTTGTAATTTTGCTCCACTTTCCCATCCCTCAATCCCAATCATGGCTACTGTTGATTCTATTTTTACTTGACTTCACTTCTATAAAATTATTTTTTGAGGATAGGGCACTTTATGCACTGCCCATAAGTATATAAATGATGCAACCACTTTGGAAAATATTTGCCATTATCTACTAAAGTTTAGCATGTAACTCTACTTTCGAGTATAAAATTTGCAGAAATTGGCTGGGCATGGTGGTTTACGCCTGTAATCCCAGCACTTTGGGAGGCTGAGGCAGGCAGATCACCTGAGGTTGGGAGTTAAAAATTTGCAGAAATTAACTCTTGCACATATGTACCAGAAGACATATACCAGAATGTTCATAGCAGTATTTGTTTTTTAATTTTTTTGAGACAGATTCTTGCTTTGTCACCTAGGCTGGAGTGCAGTGGCGTGATCTCAGCTCACTGCAACCTCTGTCTCCCGGGTTCAAGTGATTCTCCTGCCTCAGTCACCCAAGTAGCTGGGATTACAGGTGCCTGCCACCATGCCTGGCTAATTTTCATATTTTTAGTAGAGACAGGGTTTCACCATGTTGGCCAGGCTGGTCTCCAACTCCTGGCCTCAAGTGATCTGCCCACCTCGGCCTCTCACAGTGCTAGGATTACAGGCAGAAGCCACCGCACCTGGCCCCGGTTTTTATTTCTCCTGAGCACAAATCTAGACATAGAATTGCTGGGTCATATGGTAACACTAGTTTAACATTTTGAGGAACTGCCAGGCTATTTTCCAAAGCAGTGGCACCTACCAGCGTGTATGATGCTTCCAATTTCTTCACTTTCTCACCAACCCTTGTTATTGTTTGTAACTGAGGTGTTATCTCATTGTATTTTTTTTTTCTTTTTTTTTTTCTTTTGAGACGGAGTCTCGCTCTGTCGCCCAGGCTGGAGTGCAGTGGCCAGATCTCAGCTCACTGCAAGCTCCGCCTCCCGGGTTTACGCCAT